TTATTCCTATGCCATAGACTTAGCATTACCCATGTTATCTCTATGCCATAGACTTAGCATTACCAATGTTATCCCTATGTCATAGATTTAAGCTGTAATCCCATAGAAACCCACGTTAAAGCCTCCCCATGTTAATCCTATGAGAGCTTTCCCATGTTAAAGTATAGTCATAGACTCAAGCTGCAATCCCATGTTAAATCCCATAGGGTGGGGAGGGGGGAGGGGGTAGCCGAACGATCCTATAAACCACATTATTCATATCAGAATAGTGGTTAAAAATGATACAAATTATGAAATTAATCTATAAATTCTATACATTCTATATATATATTCTAGAATTTCATATTCAAAATATATTCTATAAATGATATATTCTATGATTTGTGTGCAAAACACTTACATCTCTTTCCATTGAAGGCGCCCTTTGAAAGATTGGGAGTTTCACATTGAGGACATCGGGGTCTTGCAGACAATAGCCCAGTCTTTCGATGATTGTAGCAAAAGAGGGCCGTCCGTCGGGCGCAGGACTCCAGCACTGAGTCATTATAGCGTATACTTGAGGGGGTGTTGAAGGGTTGGGCGCCTCAAGTCTGCCGCCCGCTGTCACCATTTGCATGACTTCTTGGTTACCCCGACCGGGATATGGCATATATCCCATTGAGAACACCTCCCATAATAACACACCAAAAGACCAAACGTCTGTTTTCGATGTGAATATGCCGTCTAAGAAGGCTTCGGGAGGCATCCATTTGACCGGAAGCATAGCTTTACCACCTTTTCGATAATAATCAGCTCTATATATGTCTCTGTAATGGAAAATTAATTCAATGCCCAAGATTTAAATGCAATATGTGGAGTATATCCTGCACTCCATGTCATACCTCGCCATTCCTGTAATTATTAAATAAAAATTAAGTTTTAATCATATTTAAACAATTATTCAATATATTAAAATTCTTACCAAAATCAGCAATTTTAACAACAATTCCGCTGTTATTAAATCCATTGTTATAATTAGTTATATTAAACATTGGATTCATATTATTAATAGTAGCAGACATTAATTATTCAATATATTAAAATTCTTACCAAAATCAGCAATTTTAACAACAATTCCGCTGTTATTAAATCCATTGTTATAATTAGTTATATTAAACATTGGATTCATATTATTAATAGTAGCAGACATTTGGGATTTAGTTTTGGTGCTGAGGAGACAATTTCGGGCCGCAATGTCTCTGTGAATAAAGTGATTCTCTTCCAAATACTGACAGCCGAGGGCTATGTCTACAAAATTATGACATTTTAATTAAATTATGAAAAACAGTATAAAATCTCATTTATTACCCAAAGCGATAACAAGAATATCTCCCATAACTAGTGGCGAAGGTTTGCCGGCTGTGGCACGAGATTCACGGAGGAATGTCTTGAGATCACCGCCGGGCAGCAGTTCAAGGACTATAAAACGGGGCATTTTTTCAAAGCAAACACCGATAAAGCGAACAATATTTCTGTGTTTAAATTTAGACATAATGAGCGCTTCCATAAGGAAATCCATTTCCGCCTGATTATTGGCCGAATACTCAGGCAATGTCTTCACAGCAACTGGTAATTCATCGGTGATCTCTCCGGGCATGTTATGAAGGAATCCCTGATAAACTTCACCAAAAGCTCCCTGACCTAAGGCTCTGCACAGATTTCAAATTAAATGCATTGTCAGACACCTTATAATACAAGTGTAAGACATACTTAATAAGTGTGAGCTTCTCTCGGGGCACTTCTCTCAGGTCTTGTAGAGTACAGGTCGAGCCCCCGAACTCGTAGTTGGGATTATATTCGGTAATAATGTGTCCGTGTCTTAAACGACTCAACTGGACATCAGTGGAACTGTTGGACAAGAGTTGAGAAGCGCTCGCATCCCTACCATTCCTATCAGCGCCCGAACGGTTATCACTGTTACACGACTTGCGATATCTCAACACTAATTAAAAGCAATTTACAAATTAATTTGCGATAAATTTGCATATTTATTAGGGACTGACCGGCAATCGCGCCCACTATTACTGAAACTATTACTATTATAAGAACTGTCGATAAAATAATTATTATAGTGAGTGACGGATGGATCGGACCTATCGATCAGATTTGGGGAAAATTGTATAAATTATTTAAATTTCTTTAAAAAAATTATTATGATATCAACAAAAGTAATATTATTCATACATTTAAAAAATTCAAACGTATTGTGGGAACAAATGCAGTGAATCATTAGCTGACCATCGGGTGTCTCTCCCGTTACAACACAAGGATATAACCCATCGTTACAACAATTTTCAATTTGCGGGAATATAGCGACCAAACCATCCCTTTCGCTGTCATTTCCTAATCGATTCTCATTTATAGCTGAAAGCGATAAATACAACCCTTTCTTCGCGAAAGAGGTGCCGCCTTGACCTCCACGGCCGCTATCATAAGAGTTGCCCCCCTGATAGCCTCCGCCTAAAACATATTACTTAATACCACTTAATATACTAACAAACATTCACAAACTATACCTCCGCCTCCACTAACGCATCCGCCTATTGTAAGAATAATTATAATTCATTACATTTTGACCATTTAATTAGCAAAATCTCATAAAATACCTCCGCCTCCGCCAAAGCCACCATTGGTTGACCTTTGAATATAATATAATATAATTGATTGAATTTATAATTTCCTGTAAGTAATACCAGTCGTGGGTTAGATCGCAAACATATCCTCCCTCAGCGCCAGACAGTAATGAAGAGCCAGACGTAAGTCTTTGGACTAAAGGGTCTGAAAACCATCCGCCGCCCGATCCATCGCCGTCTCCCACCGAACCTTTACTGTTCACCATATGTTCTAAACCCCTTCCGTGCAGTCCTATCATATTTTAGTCACAAATAGTTAACATTAATTAATTAACAATCATTTTAAATGGGATCAAATGTGATATTTAGGTATATAAACTATATTAAGAATTGTCAACAATACTGTGTACAAAAGCTGTTTTAAAATGTTCAAGATACTGTATTGTAAAGTCTGTATGCAAGTAAATATTCTTGCTAAAAATTACTGTAACAATATTAATTTTAATGTGAATGCACATCTGTATAATAGATTATAGAATAAGTATTTTCTATTCCTTATGTAAAATAAAAACTGACGATTAATTAATTAAATTAAATCCTACCTTCAATGTTTGTGTGTCCGTCAGCACTGCCTCCACCACCGCCTCCTCCTTCCCGATGTAATTAATATCATTAATGTTTAGAACATTTAGTTTGGAATTCTATATATCCAGAAGTCAAACAAACCTGCGATCAAAAGTGGCACCAAATTTTGATCTTCAATTTTGTAAACTATAAAAATTTGAAAACAACTGTAAATTATATTTCCAAATGAAGATCGAGAAGACATACTATAAGTAGCGCCTCCACCACCTCCTGCCCCACCCATAGACTGGTCCACGTCTTTGATCATACTTTTAATATTAACTATATTTAGGTTTCGATTCACTTTAGACAGACATTTGCTTTTTAGCTATGAATGAATAAATTATATATTTTAAAAAATTATATCGTTAATGAATTGAGAAGTGATTACATTTGGAATCAAATCACTTCGACCGCAAGCGTCGGCACCGGTCTGTCCAATGATATTGAAAATAGTGTCTCCTTCTTGAAACTTAAACACTGAGCGAACTAAAGCTCCGTTCCCTCCACTGCTGTTCATATGGAGTCCGTGTCCACCCTTTGCACCTCGAGCGAAGATTCTGGCATTTTTAAGTAAATACAGCATTTTAAAAGCTATTTCATTATTATAATTGGTTATATTCTAACAGATTTATATAATTGCTATGTTTGCAATTTAAAGTGTCAAATATATTATTAATAACGTAATCATAAACCGATAGCAATTATAAACTAACAATTCTCTATCTTTTTTAGATATTCTATAAAACTACATTTAGAATATTGTAAAATACAAATATGTAGATATCAGGTATTATTGATAATATACAGTACATGGTAGTACTAATTTGTTTTCATTAACTAAATTTGTTGTCGTATTGTTGAATCATTTTGTACGGAAATTGACGGAGAAATATAATTAAAAAAGTTATTTATAAACATTTATACGTGAATAAGGTTTAGACATGATTGGCTTCCCTCATATAAGAGTAGAAACATTTTTTCAAGAGATTCTATTTATACATACAATTGAAGATACAATAAAAAGTGAAAGCAATTGTTGTGATGTATAGAAACATCTCTGTTATCGTAAAGTATTTCAACTATATATTCAAGAGTAATATTATGTAAACAATACTTAAAATAAAAATCCCTTTTTATATCTCTTGTCATATAATTCCAAGAATAAGAGCACTTTATATAAGTCTACGATTATGTATACGAATAACATATTTTCTACTTATGTATAGCAATATATGTATATCTTTGTGACACATATGTTGAAAATAAGTTATAAATAAATTGGTATTATTTTTAGACTAAATTAATAACAATCTGTATCTCACTATATATACTCATTGAAGTTAACATTTGATCATAAAAAAATTCATGAATATCATAGAAATGATTATAATATAAAGTAGAAGATTATATATTGCTTTGTGAGTTATATCTAACCTATATTTTATATTAAATTCTTATTTTTCATCACTTAAATCAATGATAGATTGATATTAAAGGAATAAAATTGTGATTTTTAATACTGAAATTAATATAAAAACTAGATATTAAAAGGAATTTTAAAAAATTCATATTAATTATACACTTTTACATTTATTTGTCAAAACAAGCAATTATTATCGGATATACAGTATGTTAAAACAAAAATTGGTTTAAATTAGAAAACTATGCATTATTACCATGATCGGTGGACATATTAACTCTCAGGCTAATGTTATTAACGAGTATAATATATAAAGTTTTAGTTACTATAGTTGTTTTGCGACTCTCTGATTATTTCTAAAGTTTTAAATATTTAAAAATTCTAAATTAAAAATACAAATAATTTGAGTTATTAGGAAAACATTTTTATTAACTATTATACTTTTTGAATATTTAGTTTATTTTTGTTAAAAGCTTTATTATTTGTATAATTTTTCAATTGTAATACTGTATATTCCAATATTATTTTATTATACATAAACACAAAATATAGAATTTTTACTGAAATGTTTTGACGACAGAAAAGTGCTTTTATTTTTATACATCATTTGTTTTAAATAAAAATAACAATTCAAATATAACTTTACAAATTAAATACTTTTAGAGATTTTATGAATTATTCATCAAAATTACTTCATTAAACATTATTCTACTCTTTTATGATTCCGTGTATAATATCTATTCTTTAATGAATATATTCTTTAAGTTTGTTTAACATGAGGTAAAACTAAAAATAAAAGTTCAAAAATCTAAATAATTAATCTAATGAATGAGGAGATTATGTGCTCATTCAAGTAAACTACAGATAATTAATTACAAATAAATATCTTTAATGTTAGACACTTCCCTCCCAGGTAAATATATTTTTGGGAAGAAAGATATTTTATCTTCCTGAACACAGGGAAAATAAGATGTGGTCAAACAATGACCAGTCCATGTGCATAAATAATTTGTTCTAACTATATACTTCTATCACAATTTAGTTAAACATTTAGTTAAATCTATTCAATTGATATAATTTAAACAAATTTTTGAATCATTTTTTTAAACAAAACTTAAAAAGACGCGAAATATTTGGACTTAATTAGGATTTATGAATACATTAGTTCCATCAAAATTTATATCTGCCGGGAAATTCCCATATTTTGGGAGTGAATACGAATCTTCCCTAAAGTGTCCAACATCAAATATCTTCAAAATAAATTTATTCATTTCCACGAAATTTAGATTTTGTTAAATAAATTTAATATTTATTAGTATTTGGCGAGAATTTAATTAATTAATATGACTGATCATATTATACGAATTTATATATTTAATGTTAATATTTAATATCATAATGAATAATAATGCATAACAAATGAAGTGTGGATGTAATGATACTCCTATGAAAAATCATCTGATACTCTACTCAAACATCAAGAAATGAAGTTTTAATTCAAACTAATTTTAATAGAATTAATTTAATTTAATTAAATTTTTTTAAATTATTGCATCAAATTGTAAAACAATAAAACTAATTATAAGCAATTTGTAAAACATTTAAATGATATTTTGAAATGAATACTATTGTTACATATATTTCATCGCTTTTGCCAAATAAAAATTATTATAATTATATTTAAAACATATTTAATACTAATAATAATATAAACATACGTATAGTATCCGGTTTGAGGTATTGTCCACATCTGAGATCCGTTCACAATAATAGATGAGCTGTCCATCACTGCGGCTCTCGTTATACTATTTAAGTAAAACTGTTCGCACTGTTTATATGTGGGTCCCGTCCGACCCATAGAACCACAAGTTGTCAATTTAAAGCCTTTAATACAATTCAAATACTATTAATATTCATTCAATACAGTTATTACAATATAGAAATAGTTTTAAATTAAATAATTACTTTTTAATGACGTGTTGTTTGGTATTTGGAAAGGTAGCCCTGGTGGGGGCACAGTGGAGGGCATCGGCGGCGGAGGCATACCTGAGTGATTGAAACTTAACATCAAAACACGGATCAAATGCCAATAATGTCTCTATAATACCGATTCCAAAACATTCTTTCGATAGACTAAAGTTATCGAAAGCTATAATTTGTTTGTTGCGAGTACTGCCTGTGCCGCCCCTGTATGTGGACGTCCATATAAGCTTGAGTTTGTACGGGTACTCAATGCCTGTAA